CCTCCTCCTCCTCCTCCTCCTCCTCCTCCTCCATTTCTCACTCCTCCTCCTCCTCCTCCTCCATTTCTCCTCCTCCTCCTCCTCCTCCTCCATTTCTCCTCCTCCTCCTCCTCCTCCTCCATTTCTCCTCCTCCTCCTCCTCCTCCTCCTCCTCCTCCATTTCTCCTCCTCCTCCTCCTCCTCCATTTCTCCTCCTCCTCCTCCTCCTCCTCCTCCATTTCTCCTCCTCCTCCTCCATTTCTCCTCCTCCTCCTCCATTTCTCCACCTCCTCCTCTTCCTCCATTTCTCCTCCTCCTCCTCCTCCTCCATTTCTCCTCCTCCTCCTCCTCCTCCATTTCTCCTCCTCCTCCTCCTCCTCCATTTCTCCTCCTCCTCCTCCTCCTCCTCCTCCTCCATTTCTCCTCCTCCTCCTCCTCCATTTCTCCTCCTCCTCCTCCTCCATTTCTCCTCCTCCTCCTCCATTTCTCCTCCTCCTCCTCCTCCTCCTCCTCCTCCTCCTCCCTTTCTCCTCCATTTCTCCTCCTCCATTTCTCCTCCTCCTCCTCCTCCTCCATTTCTCCTCCTCCTCCTCCTCCTCATCCATTTCTCCTCCTCCTCCATTTCTCCTCCTCCTCCTCCTCCTCCATTTCTCCTCCTTTTCCTCTTCCATTTCTCCTCCTCCTCCTCCTCCTCTTCCATTTCTCCTCCTCCTCCTCCTCTTCCATTTCTCCTTCTCCTCCTCCTCCTCCATTTCTCCTCCTCCTCCTCCTCCTCCTCCATTTCTCCTCCTCCTCCTCCTCCTCCATTTCTCCTCCTCCTCCTCCTCCTCCTCCATTTCTCCTCCTCCTCCTCCTCCTCCATTTCTCCTCCTCCTCCTCCTCCTCCATTTCTCCTCCTCCTCCTCCTCCTCCTCCTCCTCCTCCATTTCTCCTCCTCCTCCATTTCTCCTCCTCCTCCTCCATTTCTCCTCCTCCTCCTCCTCCATTTCTCCTCCTCCTCCTCCATTTCTCCTCCTCCTCCTCCTCCATTTCTCCTCCTCCTCCATTTCTCCTCCTCCTTTTCCTCCTCCTCCTCCTCCTCCTCCATTTCCTCCTCCTCCATTTCTCCTCCTCCTTTTCCTCCTCCTCCATTTCTCCTCCTCCTTTTCCTCCTCCTCCATTTCTCCTCCTCCTCCATTTCTCCTCCTCCTTTTCCTCCTCCTCCATTTCTCCTCCTCCTTTTCCTCCTCCTCCTTTTCCTCCTCCTCCTCCTCCTCCATTTCTCCTCCTCCTCCTCCTCCTCCTCCATTTCTCCTCCTCCTCCTCCTCTTCCATTTCTCCTCCTCCTCCTCCTCTTCCATTTCTCCTTCTCCTTCTCCTCTGTTTCTCCTTTGTTTATCCTGTTTCTCCTCTTCCTCCTCTGTTTACCCTCTCATTTCCTTTTTCCCTTGTTTTTTTTAATGTAATAAGAGTTTATTTTGTTCCAAGTCATTTGCATTTAGATGACTGATTATGAATTAATAATTATTTTATTTCTTTTGTCGTCTTTCTTCTATGTATATGTTTGTATATAAATTCTGATAATTTTTGCAGTCTACAGCAAGAAATTTATATTGGTTTTCAGACTATTTTGCCTTCTTTGAACTTAGCCGTTATGTTTAATTAATTATGTCCATCTATATGTACATGCCAATTGTTTTTGCAGTGTAAAACAAGAATAGTATATTGTTTTTGCATACTTGTTTTTTATTTTCTAATTTGCACCTACATTGTTGTTTCTTCTGTGTCTATTATTATTCTTCATATCATCGTTCAGGAGAAATCACTTCAAAACTCATGGATTCTGCTTTATTTCAATGCTTCAAAAAATGCCTAACTTAGAAATACATTTTACAACCCAAGGTCACTGTTTATCACACTTACGACTATTGGTGTAATTTGATGAAAAACTAACATTGCTCAGGGAACAAAATAAGACAAAACAGATATGTATGTATGTGTATATATATATATATATTTAGTATGTACTACTCTATTTTTATATATTATCTTTGGTATATAGATACAGTATTTTATAGTTTGTCAGACTTAGATCTAGACAAGGCACTTCATGCAAGGCACTAAATATCACAGGGTGTATAATGTAGTTGAGCCTTTATATATATGTAATTTTACCGTTTTTCATATAAAATACTTTTTACGTTTTTGCTCAACATATCACATTTACAGCTTTATGATTGTTTACTTATTACAATCAATTTGCTTCCTAAGGCACTGATATAACCAACTTTTTTCTTTGCTTGTAAGTACGTGCATAAAAAAAAATGTATTGTTAAACTATCCTCTACTAATGTAAAAGGGACAAAATAATGTTTAAAGGGAAGGGAAAATGTTTAAATTAAGGTACTAAATAAATAGGACTTGTACTGCGGAACCTCCATTTAAAGGGAGCATGTCAGAAGTTGTCAGGAGTGTGAATGTGTTTAAGTTCCTGCGAGTAAGTGGGTACCCTCACCCACTTACTCGCATGTATGTGTGTATGCTTGCATTTGTCACCATGTCAAGAATAGCTGAATGTCTTCATAACAGAGTCTAGCAAATAACTTTTCCTTCTCATCATAAGCATATGGATTCCTGTAGATGAGGGTTTCTCCTTACACATCATCTAATGCAGCCTGAAAAGAAGTAGCAGTGATTGAATATTATATCCTGTTTTCTTGTATTTAGAATATAGAGTTAGAATAAGTACTTTAATCTTTTAAGTCCAGGGAAAACATGTCAGTTTTGTAAGTAATCTGCATACCAGTTTTCGTAATCTATTTTTCCATCCATTTGTATCTCTATCTATCTAGCTATTAATTTCTATTTATATATAAGCTTATCCAGCTCTCTATCTTTCTATTTATCTTGTATATTTATTCAATCTGTTTTTCTATCAATTTATTCTTTTCTTCCTGTCTCTCTACTGTTCATTTATCAATCTCATTTTATATCTCTATTTATCTATATCTCATCTGTCTATCTGTCTTAACTATTTATTAGTCTGTCTCTCTATCTAATATTTTGTCTATCCGATGTCTATCTGCTTGTCTGTTTGTGTGCTAATTTGCCTCTTCCTTTCTTCCTATCTATTCATCTCTTTCTTTCTTTCTTCCTTCCTTTCTTTCTTTCTTCCTTACTTTCTTTCTTTCTTCCTTCTCTTTCCTTCCCTCCCTCCCTTCTCTTTCCTTCCCTCCCTTCCTTCTCTTTCCTTCCCTCCCTTCCTTCTCTTTCCTTCCCTCCCTTCCTTCTCTTTCCTTCCCTCCCTTCCTTCTCTTTCCTTCCCTCCCTTCCTACTCTTTCCTTCCCTCCCTTCCTTCCTTTTCCCTCCCTTCCTTCTTTTTCCTTCCCTTCCTTCTTTTTCCTTCCCTTCCTTCTTTTTCCTTCCCTCCCTTCTTTTTTCCTTCCCTCCCTTCCTTCCTTCTTTTCCTTCCTCCTCCCTTCCTTCCTTCTTTTTCCTTCCCTCCCTCCCTTCCCTCCTTTTTCCTTCCCTCCCTCCCTCCCTTCCTTCTCTTTCCTTCCTTCCCTTCCTTCTAATATATCCATATTTATCTATCTATTTACCTGTCGCTCTATCTATCTCTTTCTATCAATCTACCTCTCTATCAGTATCCATTATAACTTTCAAATTTTCTAGTTAATTGCACGCTTCTGCGCATCTAAAAATGACCATTGTTACTCCCAAGAAACTTACCTGGACCTGATTAGTGGCTCTTGGACCGCTGTACAGGTCACCAAGATCTCCATCTCCTCCTCCTCCTCCTTTTCCTCCTCCTCCTGTTCTTTCTCCCACTCCACTACCAAACCGGACTGCGCTACGTGGCTTTGCGTTGTTGGGAGTGGCGGAGTTACCCCTCCCGTTGCCGCGGTAGAAGGACGACTTGAGAGCGTCCTTGTTGGTGACGTCGAGGCTCCCGGCGAAGTAGACGTCGTTCAGGTAGTCGAGGAACCTGTGCGTGGGAGGAAAGGAGGGGCCGGGGTGAGGCGGGGTTAGAGGGTGTTGGGTGGGGGAGGGGAGGGGAGTCGTGGGTTTTATTGGGTGTGATAATAGCCTTGTCGTATTATACGAGTTGTACAATGGTAATGATAATATGATAATATCAACGTAATCAATAATACTGATATTACTAATATTATTTATTTTAATATTATAAAATTCATTATAGATATCAGCAACAACAATGACTAGTTATGATGTATAACAGGAAGTTCTTTTTTGTTACTCATATCATTCTTGATTAATTCACAAAAAATAAATTGATAAAAGAGATATAAAACACGATAATAATATGAAAAAATCAGAAGCAGAAAGTCAAAGAAAAATGAAAGCGGTGTAAGAGAAAAAAAGGAAAGAAAATTAATCTGTTGAAAATTTCAAAAGAAAAGAGAAACGAAAACTTGAAAACCCGTGAAACAAGACCAAAAAAAAGTAAAGACGTTGAAATAAAAAAAAAAAAAAAAAAAAAAAATCAAGAAAATGAATCCAAAGAGAAAAAAAAATCCTTACTTGTCCACTTTATTGGGAAGTTCTTTGACCTTGTCGTTCCCTGCTCCGTCGTCAGCGCCCTCTTCGCCGCCGAGGGGGTTGTTGGGGGAGTTGCCGGAGGAGGAGGTCGTGGTCTCGAGGCCCGGGGACACCTGCGTGGGGATCCCGAGGCCGAGGTATGTGCTGAAGCGACCCCACACGAACGCCACCATCTCGTACTCGTTCGGCTGCTTCATCATGTCATACTTCACCTGTGTTTTTTTATTGTATGTTAGTGTTATGTTGATTTCGCCTGTTTTATTATTATTATTATTATTATTATTATTATTATTATTATTGTTATTATAATCGTGGGATTGTATTAGTTCACTTCACATGTGTTTGTATTGTATTTTTGTTGTTAGTTAACGGAATGAGAACAATGGACTTATAGTTTGTTAGATTTCTTTATAAATTCATCAGTGGCGAAAAAGGGAAGAGGGAGATTAATAAAAAAAATATATATATATATGTTATACGCCTACGAGAGACAGAGACAGAGAGGGGGAGGGAGGTAGGTAGATGGGTTATGGAAAGAAAGAAAAAAGACACCAGAGATAGAAAAAAAAACAACGTACTTAGAGCGCTCCACATTTCACACCCCCTAAAAAAGAAAAGAAAAAAAAAAAGCATCATCCCACCTGTTGGAAGGCCTTGATGATGAGAGTGAGGAGCAGGTTGACCAGAACCCACGAGTTGCACAGCACGAACACGAAGAACATGATGGGCACGATGTCCGACGCTTTCTTCATCTCCTCGAACTGGAATTTGCCTTTGGAATGAGAGAGAGAGAAAGAATAATAACGGAGGACGAGGCAAGAGTGAATGGTATTGGAAAGGAGGGAAAGTATGCGACGTTTATTGAAATTGTGATGTTTAGAGAGAGTGAGTGAGTGAGTGAGTGAGTGTGTGTGTGTGTGTGTGTGTGTGTGTGTGTGTGTGTGTGTGTGTGTGTGTGTGTGTGTGTGTGTGTGTGTGTGTGTGTGTGAGAGTGAGGGTGAGGATGAGAGAGACAGACAGAGAGAGAGACACACTTACCGAGCATCATACTGAAGCACGTTTCCACCGCCGTAATGAAGTTGTAGAAACCTTCCATGTACTTGTTGAGAAGCAGGAAGAACATCGCCACGAAGGAGAAGAAGCAGAGGAAGAAGGCCATGAGGAAACCGCTGAGATCGTCCCAGCACTGCTTCAGGGTGGCGGAGAGAACACCTGTGTGGCGTTACGGAAGGGGGATTTGATTACTTTTTGACGATTGAGATGGAGGAGGAGGGAGGGGAGTGTGTGTGTGAGGGAGGTGCGTTAAGTATATTTGAAGACGTTATTTTTATCTATACATTGTAGCTATAAATTAAGATCTGGCTAGAACAAAGACAACTAAAATGAAAGATATATGGGAAAAAATCCTTTTTCAGACTTT